TGTAGAATACAACAGCACGTGGCGTCACACACAGCAATCTTCACTCGGTCGCCATTAACCACGTGACTGGTGTACACGTCCGGTTAGTCATTAACCCTGCCAGCCCCCCACAGGCCCAACTCAGTCATCACATGCTGGTGTACACACGTGCATTGATGTACTGCACAGCACATAAGGACTTATTAAAAGAGTGGTCCATTCCTAATGTGCCACATGCGTTGTGTGCATGAGCGATAGCACTTTGGTGTTATCGCTGTTTCACAGAAAGAGTTGTAACAATAAACGTCCACCAGTGGGAAAGTCATAAATTAAGAAAATAAGCAAATATGCAACACAAAGTAGAGGTGGAGATTAACGTGAAAATGTCACATTTATACATACTCATAAAAATCTCCAATTAGTAAAATCACCGTGTTCCTTATTACCGAATGTACGTATGTACGCTTAACAGCTACTGTCGATGTACAATGTTTCATATTTTAATATAAATGGATGTTAATGTTTTTAATCCAATATAATTGACACCTTTTAACAAGCCAACCTTTCTTCTGTAATAATATGCACACACACGCATAAGCAACGCACCCACACAAGAATGCCTCATTGAGTCTAACGTCTTGTTTTGGGCATGCACGTCAGTGAATATAAGAATAGCTTTTACCCTTTCTGGTTATAAAACAGGTGTTAAGATGTTAAAACACCAAACAGAAGCCTTTTGCAAGGAATCCTGTCGAACACGAGGACGGCTACTAGTTGTTCAATGGACTATCTGGCCTGACCATGGGAATGTAGAATGGTTAATTTCAGGGCCACCAATAAAGATGAATACAGCCCGAAAATATTTACATTTGAGCAGATAGTCACTCTGTCTTGACAATGTCAGACATTTATATATAGTGTGCATTACTTGCAGCCAAATGTTAGAATACATAACACGTATATAGCACAATGCATTGGCTGGTAACGAGAGATAGAGGGTCACGAATGATAATATCTATCCCATGCGTCATTACCAGCAAAATGAAAAAGGCCAGTTCCGTCATTGCCTCCCCCATTGGAGGGAGAATCTCAGCGCCCCATGCCGCGATCGTGCTCGCGTAATTTATTGACTCGCATAGGGCATAAACTACGTAATGCCGGGTGATCGGATGGTATAGCAGTCGCCAAGATCACCACGGAGCGCGCACACACACACACATTTGCAGCACACGTTCTGGTGCGCTGTTGCATCTAGAGCACGGACAAGAGTCTTGTTCATTCCACAACGACAGTAGAGTTAAAACCAGGGCTGGAGAACACAGCTGGGGGAAGGGGGAAGGTAAAAGGGACAAGCGCGGCCCTGCAATTGCCTGTTCATGCCACTGGTGGTGAAAGTGTCCCCACTACGGGGAGGTATTTGGCCTACTCTTTCACGCCGGGGAAATAAATATCTTGCAGACTTTAACCCACCATACGCGACCTGCTGATAGATTCACTTTGGGGGGGGAGGGGGGGTGGAAAGGGGTAGCTGTATCATTTTAAAAGCACAGTTTCAAAGTAAAACTTGTCTTTCCACGGATGTGGCTGTATCGGCTGCTGTAAATGTTTACATTTCCATGGATGGAGCCATTTTCTCCACGAACTGTTGACTTTCCAGGAAGAAAGGGCTTTGGTTGACCACTGAGCAGGGATTGAAAGAGCTACAAGTGGCTTGGGTGACTGGCAGGCATGTGAACGATGCATCAATTCAATGGTGAAAATCGATTCTCTCATGATGCTTGCATTGAATCGTGCGTGTAAGAAGTGATGATCTGCAATTCATGCAATTGTATATCCAAGTGATATGCTCATATTCTTAGTTTTTTCGGTAAAGTCACGTTGAAGAGAAACAACAAAATAATAAAATATATATAAAACAATAAAAAAATTCTCACGATGTTTTATATATATTTTATTATTTTGTGTTTCTCTTCAACGTGACTTTACCGAAAAAACTAAGAATATGAATTACTGCAGTCACGAAAGCTTTAAATCAAAATTTGATATGCTCATGTTACATTTTTGAGTAATGGAATAAACCAAACCGTGCAAATGAGGCATGGCTATGAAGAAGAACCAAATTGCAACTGTGAATTATGACAAATCATAAAATCACCGGATGGGCATGAATCTTGGCATGACTATTGACTTTTTTTTTAATCGGAGTTATTCAACCGTTTGCAGTATATTCTTTGGTTCTTTTGGTAAAGTCGCGTAGATAAAAAAATTAAAATCATAAAAGTTAAAAATGTGCACAAGCGGTCGTCATCAGGTGGGGGGAAAGGTGTATGTTTGAAATATATCGCTAAAGGGGGGTCAGTGTGATCGCTCCTATGCATGTTTAGGTTGTAATTATTTAAAGTTTTTACTTTGCTAATACATTTATATTTCGTCACATTTTGAAGTTTGTATGGTTGTATTTTTTTCTCTGCATGCTGAGATAATTTATTTATTTACGATTGCACTCCACATCGCCCTGGCAAAAGAGGCTTTGGTCTCAAATGGTTCTCACCCGGTTATAACGTTTATCTACATTATGTTATGACCGCAAGATAACAATACTAACACCATTGCCACAGAGCTGGATGATTGATTGAGCTATACATTACTTCTGACAGCCTATAATTAATTTTCATCACATGACAGCCCATTGCTATATTTTGTCACTTTTGAAAATCAGGCATGGGTAATCAATGTTACACAATAATACAAATATGTTTAATAATGTATAGGTAGTAAAGTGGTTAGCGCACTGCGCTACGAACCCGGAGACCCGGGTTCGATTCCCACTGACGGCCACCAAGAGTGACGATTATCTGAATCGGCCCTGGGTGCCCACCAGGTCGAATCAGCCTCAAATTAGTTCCTAGTGCGGTGTGTAGTAAACATCGCCACTGGGGAGACAAAGGTGGCCGGGCGTGATGCTGGCCACCCACCCCATCGTGTGCCGTGTCGGCTTTCAAAGGTGCTCGCTAACAGCCCTTGACCCCAACAGTCTGTTAAGGCACCTCCGATTAGCATGGTTGGCAACGTACGGTGTGGAAGAAGCTCAACATACAGTACATACATACCATATAATCCAATGCTGTGTCGGTCATTGATGCTGTTTGACCATACTTCACCATGATGTATAGTGTAGGTTAGTGAAGGTGGTAAGCATCACCAGGAAACGAACTCAATTGACCGTGTTCCAAGCCAAGTGCCTTACCCATAGATAGAGTTCATGTTGACGATCTATTGTGCAGGTTTGTATTTTATTTTCTATCACCAACTGAATCTGAGTTATGACACCAGCACAACCATGAGCCTCGTGTGTGATGCGATTGGTGAAGTCACGAAACCTTCCATGACAATTTTGTACGGAAAGGTTTAATGCACACAGCGTAAGCAGCAAACGTTCTATTTTGCATGAAAAATAAAAATAGGTTTTACCCTTTCTGGTAATAAAACAGCTGTTAAGATGTTCAAACACCAATTAGTTTATTGTAGAGCCTTGATGTGTTCCCCATTCACTGCAGTCCCAGGCTGCCCTTGACCCTGGGGTCATCTTCAAGAGTCTTCTCTGCCAAATTGAAACTCTGCAAGGAATCAAGTCTGCATTAGCCTACACACGCTACTTGTGGTGAACATGCAAACAAACATGATCTGATAATATATGAATTGTCTTTGAAACTCATTGGCCTACACCAGAGACAACCTTCTTCATGGTTTAGTATCACCAGTGTTGGACCAGAAAACAACAAAAGGCGAACAGTGCAAAGACAATGCACGTATCAGAGCATTTATAACTCGGGGTGAGCAGGCATATAATGGGACCTTTTGCCAGTATAAAATTAACATCTGCTTAATTGCCAGAAAGAGTAAAACCTGTTCTTATTTTTCATACTTTGATACTGGCAAAAAGGTCTCGTTCTGGACTGATGGCCTTAATCTAAGTTTTTGTGGTTGTTGTTGTTTGACTTGCATCCCACTGGGATTTTTTGCACACAGCGTTGGTGTACGGTGTTTTTTTCAGGAATATTTTTGCTGTTATTTTTTCAATGGATTTTCTGTTTGCACAGTCACATAGTCACATTAAGATGTTTTCTTGTTCGTGTTTTTGTTTTTTTGTTTGTTGCGGTTGCACCCGATTCAAGAGCCGGACGGCTCACAGGGCTATACCAAAATAAACTGAACTGCAACTGAAAGTTGTCTTTGGGCTTTTTGCCTAATTTGATGTAACATCACACTCGTGTTCATCACATCCAGGTCCTCATTGCAAAAGTGGTACCATATTTCACAGCCCTTCCATGTGAACCTGAATAACGAATTGTTTTAGTTGGAGCTGGCACGTAATGGGTTTCTGACTCTGAATGCTTAATGCGTTAAGGCTTTAAATTCACACAGGGAGCCGTGAATGATCCAGATTCTCCGATCTCACCATCTCAACCAAGCAGGCTGTACCATGAATGTCATGCCATTTAAAATTATATGAATTAAATAAGAAAGCAAAATAAATTGGGTTCAGGTGTTTTTATATAATTTAAACCTCAACATTAATTTCATAAGGTTTCCGTGCCATATAATGAATAGATGATATATTACTACACTTACATTCAAAAGAGAAAATCACCCTTCGTATATTGTACAAGTATGATTATTATATACATCCAGTTGGTATACACAATGTGTATGTGTATGAAAACATATAAAGCCAATAAAATAATGTTAAATGCCAAACAATAATTATGCAATAATATGTAAAAGCAAACGTCTTCAAAGTTAAACAGTTGTCATCACCACAATCAGGCGACGAAACCTGCACAGCATGAAGCTCATACCCACGAATGAATGAATGAGAGAAAGAATGGGCGGATTTACGGATGAACGGACTGATGGATGAATGGACAGGTCCCTGCACGTGAACTGGCAATTCAGAGTCCACATTATCCCTTTAACCTGCAGCACTCGCCATGCACACACGCGCGCGCACACACACACACACACGCGCGCACAGAAAGAGCGCAAGTAAGAGTGAGCGAGGGTGAGTGGGAGGGAGAGCGTGGAGAGGGAGAGAGGGATCCGACGCGATTGAAGCCACTCATCGCCACGGCAGTGGAGACGACCTCCGTGGTGGTGGTGGCGCGCGCGCGGTTCGGCCATGAACGTCAGCGGCACCGCGGCCAGAGCCAACGGCTCCGCGTCGCGCAACGAGCGCAACGAGGCGCTGGCGAGAGCCGAGGTGGCGGTGCTGTTCGCCATGTTCGCATGCACCACGCTTGGTAACTCGGTGCTGCTCACGGCGCTCTACCGACGGCGCAAGCACGCGTCACGCATGCACGTGTTCATGGTGCACCTGTGCCTCGCCGACCTGGTGGTGGCTTTCTTCCAGGTGCTGCCGCAGCTCGCGTGGGACATCACCGACGTGTTCCTCGCGTCCGACTTCGCCTGCCGCTTCATCAAGTACATGCAGATCGTGGGCATGTTTGCCTCCACCTACATGATCGTGGGCATGACGGTGGACCGATACCAGGCGGTCTGCTTCCCCATGGTCACCTTCAAGAAGCGTATGGCTTACTGGAACGCGCCCGTGTGCGCCGTGTGGGTGGTCTCGCTGCTGCTCAGCGTGCCCCAGGCGGTCATCTTCGCCAAGGGGGAGGTCTACCCGGGCGTCTACGACTGCTGGGGGACATTCCAGCCCATGTGGGGCGTCAAGGCGTACATAACCTGGATGGCCATGGCCATATTTGTGGTGCCCACCGCCGTGCTTGTGTGGTGCCAAACCAAGATCTGCCGCGTCATCCGGCTGAACATCTACTTCAAGACGCCGCAGGTGCACAAAGACAAGCTGCTGCTGCGTCGGCGGAAGCAGCGGCGGCGGCGTCAGCAGAAGCGGCAAGAGGACGAGGAGGAGGTGGCCGCCCTGCACAGGGGTCAGACGCACGCTGTGACCATGACCCGGGTGAGCAGCGTGACCGGTGTCTCGAGGGCGATGGTGAAGACGGTGAAGATGACCCTGGTCATCGTGATCGTATATGTCCTCTGCTGGTCGCCGTTCTTCGTAGCGCAGCTGTGGAGCGTGTGGGATCCCAATCCACCGTTCGAAGGTAAACTTCGACCCACCGGGAGCAGACTGGCTGCTGTCCAGCCTCGTTTGTTTTTGATGCTTGAGTTGTACGTCTCGTGCTTATACATCTGGCTTTCGTCAAGCGCTGCTGTGGGTGGATAACACGCATCGAGGATGTGTTCCATCGCAATCACCAGCGATTTAAGGCCATTATATTCAAACGGGTGACTCTCAAAACACATGGCAGGCTAATGTAATTAAACTATTTAAGAAACAGAGCGTTGTACGAACCGCATATTTGTTCATTCAAGTCATTGTCTAAGCATGATGCAGCCGTGATCTAGTGGTGGATATTCCGGATGAGTAATGTCGCGGAAAGGCAATTCATGGCACAATCATACATTCGGTAACTGTTTGGGTATTTTAAAGATACATGTAATGTCTCTCCAGTGATAATATCGTTCTCTAGTTTATGATAACAGTAGTTATTTTATGGGTCTGGTTAAGAGAATATCATTGGCAATTTATAGTGAGGGTTGCAAAGAATATAACACAATCTGCTCCGATTTTTTTTTATGACGATACATCTGTTTCAGAACATATTCCTTAAACTCACGTAATATTATTACGTTAATAAGTAAAAACAGTATCTCTGATTTTATAATCTGAACACCTTACACAGTAAAATCTGGATGCAAAGAAATAACACAAGTTTCAAGTTTTCAAGTTTTCAAGTTAAATTTATTAGGTGTAGCCCTGTGAGCCATGCGGCTCTTAAGTCGGGTGCAACCGCAACAAACTAAATTTGAACACAGAACATCTTAAAGCGACGACTCGCAACAGAAACCTCCTGCAATAAACCAGCAAATATTCCACACAAAAAAAACGTATTATAACGCTGTGTGCAAAAATCAATGTGGTGCAAGCCAATAACAACAACCATAAGACAATTTAGATTAACCATATGTTTTCGAATCACCAAAATAAAGCTATAAAAACAATGTAACAACAGTAATCATAGGAACTGTGATTTTAAATTTAACAATAAACGATATACATAACACGTACGACAAAAAAACTGCAGCCATAGCTGGCAGCACGACACTCCCAGTGTATGATGTGTGAGTGAGTCAGCAGCAGCGTGAGTGTATGATGTGTGAGTCAGTGTATGATGTGTGAGTCAGTGTATGATGTGTGAGTCAGTGTATGATGTGTGAGCAAGTGTATGATGTGTGAGCAAGTCAGCGGCAGTGTGAGTGAGTGTATGATGTGTGAGTCAGCGCACGATGTGTTAGTCAGCGCATGATGAGTGAGTCAGTGTATGATGTGTGAGCGAGTCAGTGGCAGTATGAGTGAGTGTATGATTGGTGAGTCAGCGCACGATGTGTTAGTCAGCGCATGATGAGTGAGTCAGTGTATGATGTGCGAGTGAGCCAGCACACGATGAGTGAACCTGTGCATGATGAGTGAATGGGTCAGTGGTTGTGCGAGTGTATGATGTGTGAGTGAGTAAGCGCATGATGAGCGAGTCAGTGCATGATGTGTGAGTGAGAATGTCAGTATCGGCTCCCTCTGCTCGCGCCGTCGCCCCCCCCCCCCCGGCTCCGTCGGCCCCCCCCCCGGCTCCGTCGCCCCCCCCCCCCAGCTCCGTTGCCCCCCCCCAGCTCCGTCGCCCCCCCCCCCCCCCCAGCAAATCGGATCACTCAGTTCGCTGTGCAGGTCAATAGCCACTGCGCTACCGCGTATATTTATATACACAAAACAGGGCAGCACAAGCTAGCACAGAGGTCGACAATCTTTCAAAGAAGCAGAGCCATTTTTTTCGTCTTTGACCAAAATAGTTCTAGAGGCGCATCACACGCAGAGCTACTCGTACACACAGATACAGCAGCAGCTAAACAGCGGATGGCAAGCACATTCTGACGTAAATGAACAAAATCAGTGATGGAATAAACTGCGTATATTTCGTCCCTCCAACCCACCTTAGTCATTCTTTAACAATACAACTTTAACAATACTTTTACAATAACTTTAACAATACGGTTGTACATTTTGTTGTCACCAAAACATTCCATAGCGACCCATTCCCTGCCATATTAGATACATTATCTTTATGCTAAATTGCGTGTTTTTATGATTTAAGTAAAAAAACGGCTGTCCGCAAGGGGACAGCAAAAGAGCCGCAGGTTGCCGCACTCTGAGCCAGCAGAAACATCTCTGGGAAGCCTCAACGCGAACACTGAGCTAGCAGAAACATCTCTGGGAAGCCTCAACACGAACACTGAGCTAGCAGAAAAATCTCTGGGAAGCCTCAACACGAACACTGAGCCAGCAGAAATATCTCTGGGAAGCCTCAACACGAACCCTGAGCCAGCAGAAACATCTCTGGGAAGCCTCAACACGAACCTTGAGCTAGGAGAAACATCTCTGGTAAGCCTCAACACGAACACTGAGCCAGCAGAAACATCTCTGAGAAGCCTCAACACGAACCCTGAGCCAGCAGAAATATCTCTGGGAAGCCTCAATACAAACCCTGAGCTAGGAGAAACATCTCTGGGAAGCCTCAACACGAACCCTGAGCTAGGAGAAACATCTCTGGGAAGCCTCAACACGAACCCTGAGCCAGCAGAAACATCTCTGGGAATTACTTAATGGTAAACTCTCTTGACTGGCCCTAATTAACATGACAATGTGCTACTAAATCTAATCTAATTTAATATTTATTGAGTGCCTTTCACCTCTGCAATAGAAGATGGTATGTCTTACATTTTGAAACAACCTGTAATTTAATATTTATTGAGTGCCTTTCACCTCTGCAATAGAAGATTGTTACGTCTTACATTGTGCCAGACTTGGAAACATTTATTGTGCTGCTAATAATGAAATTATCCAGCCTGGTGGCTAGGTGACTGATGTACATATACACACTATGTTTAACATTGTAAATAGAAGAACATTTGAGCAAACAAAAAAATATGATCTAAGAAGACTATGTCATTGTATTTACTTTCCTATAAAAAAAATGTCCAGGTGGTGGTTGACATTCTGAAGACTACGAATTCATAAAATAAAAGTTGGGGATTCACTCAGCCTACCATCCTTCCAGTGTCGATAAAAGGAGTACCACTTTGTGGGGAATTAAACAATGGTTTTCCTATGGATAGACTCAACCCCGCCATAGGAATCTGGAATTTCCACCACTGGCTCAGGGCTGTAAACGGGAGATGAGCACCCCCTCAATGCGCATTTGAGCAGGACATCACTTTGATAAATGAAATTAAATACGGCTGCTGGTAATTGGAATTCATATTCAATGTGTAAGTGCTGTATACAGTACTTTTAAAGTTCGTTCCGCTATTTATTATGCTGTCAGGCCTTTGCCTAGCATATACATGCTTCACGATAAAACCTGTACAACGCTATTGCAGTGGTAAGATGTATTAATAAACACAGCATCAGCCAGAACACAATTAACATGTTCAATAATGACATGGCTGGACAGTCAATCAAAACAATGTTTTAATTAGCATGGCAATAGAGGTCATGCTGCATACATATGTAGTGATGTAAACAATGTCACTATGGTGTAAGCGCCAGCCACTGTTCCAGGAGTGTGGCTGAGTGCCGGGAACCTCCGTAGGAGGCTTAATGGACATGTGACAGGGAGCCGGGAGCTCCTGACTTGATAAAGAAGGGGGCGTGGCCGAGGGCGGGGCAAGGCCGCGGCCAGGGGAATAAATGGGGAGCCCCGAGAGGGATCGGGGCTCGTTTGTAGGGATCGTCCTGGGGTCCTGGTCTCTTCGCTCTTCGCTCTTCGGTTGTTGGTTGAAGTCTTAGCTCAGCATCGTGGGTCAGGCAGCGTGTGTGCTGACTTGCCCGTGTGCAATAGCTAACTCGCACGCACATAGCGGACAGTATAGCCACACCTAGCTATAGAACTCGAAGTGGTTAGAGAGGTTCATATTCTTGGTTCTTTCACGTAGAAGGGAAACAATAAAGTAATACAAATTTATAAAACAATAAAATTCTCACGACGTTTCGACTGCAACACAAGCAATTATCATCAGGTGTGAAAACCAAGAATATGAATCCCTGTAGTCACGAAAGCTTTCAATCAAAAGGTTACAGAGGTTGTTAATAAAATAAATGTGTTGCCTCCAACTATAGTGTGTGCACCTCTGTACATCACACTACACTGGTGTCAGAAGTAATCTATCAGTTAGGTGTTAACGAGGGTAGTGATGTTAACGAGACGTAAAGTCCTCACCAAGTCGTCTTCAGACGAAGACGACGGGGTGACCCCACAAACGGCCCCGGGTGCTGGAGCCCCGGTGCCAGGGAAGGAATGCCGCTCCAAGAAGGAGTGCCTTGGCGACCTCCTGGCCACCATCGCAGCTCTGGCTGCTGTTCTACAGCGGGAGGACGATGACAAAATGCCGACACCGCGTCCGCGGACCTCCGTCGCTGCTTCCCACATGCGGAAAACTGCTGAGGCGCGCACCGCGCGCTAACCTGCCAATTTTCAGAATGCGTGCGACGGGACTCCCACCAAGACCGACCTCCCACTAAAAGCGCTGCAAGCTGACCGTGGATTGAAAAAAAGACTCCCCTTCGTCTGGGAGTTCACGATTGCGGCCGGCGATTGGGAGGCTTTTCGCCGTCGTTTCTTCACCACCTGCAAGCTGGCGGGGTGGACGGAGTAGGAGGCGCTGCGGGTGCTCCCCATGGCACTCGACGATGACGTGCTGCCGGCGTTCGACGCCATTCCAGACGACAAAAAGGAGATGCTGACCCAAGCGCTCGCGCAGATGGGGGCCATTTTCGCTCCACCGTCAACCAAGTGCCACAAGTTTGCCACGAGTAGGCGAGGGAAAGCCGAGACGTGCCTCGCATCGCAATTCTGGCATCGGCGAAGTCGGCATTTCCCGGGATGGACCAGGTGGGGTGGGAATTATTGAACCTGGAAAAGATGCTGCTGCTGGCCCAAGAGCTTCAGGTCGTCTGAGCAGCCACGGAGGATGACAACCTGACTTCTCTTGC